CCAAGTTTCGTCAAAATTAAATTATTTTTGCGGAAATTAGAAATAAAAAACGAAAAATCAGAAAAAGTGTTTTTCGCATTTTTCTCGGAAATTTTGAGGTTATGTTAAAAAGTGACCTCTACAAAAGTTGTAGATTTTTGCATGATCTACAACTTATGTATTAGATACTTTTTTGTTTGTCGTCAATTTTCGCCAGAAATCCCAATGATACAATTTTTCATAACTTTTCAATCCCCCAAATCAACCCTCCTCATAAGCCCATTCACCATTTCCACTTATAAAAGTCCAGGTAACAATTTTCTTTTTTCCCCCTCTAAATGAGTTATTTCGATCGGTCTATAGGATGCAAGGCTAATTTTAAATGTGTACAGATAAAAATTAGAGTTAAAAAAAATAAATGAAACACATAAACACTTATTTAAACATAGAAAATAAAGGTGTATATTACAAAGTATTCATTTTGATGCATTGTTACAAAAGCACTAGTCCAGATTCACTTATCTCTTTCTGTTTCAGTGAGAGTTTTTGTTTGACCCGATGTTGTTCACGACAGGCTTTACATTCTACTTCATATTAGATTAGATGTTTTATTTTGTTTTGAGACAATTACAAATTGTATAACAATAGTCACTTTGCGTATAGCAGATATTTAAAGTAAAACTCACCCAAGGAATAAAAACATTTGGTCACTAAATACAATTTTAACATTACTTTAAATTGATAAAATGATACTTTATCTTGTCTTAATTCAAAAGGCAATTTGTTAAAAATTTTAGGCCCCAAATAATTTGGTGACTTATTGGTAACTGACAATTTAGAAAAAGGTACCCGAATATTATTTTTATACCTTGTGTTTACACCATGTATGTCACTACTAAAATAAAATTTTTGCCTATTTTTAAAAACATAAATACACATATCAAATATAAATAACGAACTTAAAGTTAAAATTTTGTATTGTTTAAAAATATCTCTGCAGGTATGTTCACTAGGTACACCAGCAATATTGCGCAAAATAAGCTTCTGTGAAATAAAAACAGAATGTGTGAGGGTGGAATCACCCCAGAAACAGACACCATAACGAAGACGCGATTCTACTTGAGCATAATATAAATTAATTAACTGATTTTTGAATAAAATTGTTTTCATGTTTTTAAATAAAAAATTTATTGAACTTAAAGTGGAAACGAGATGGTTGCAATGCACTTTCCAATTAAGGGTTTCGTCGAAATAAATTCCCAGAAATTTAACACTGCCTAAAGTGTCATTCTTAATGACACAGTTATTAATTTTTATTGTTAGGTCGTCACATTTTCTCTGTCTATTATGAAACCTTATCATTTGCGTTTTATTTACATTTAAATATAAATAGTTCTGATTAAACCATGCACATATATTTTCAATCGTTTTATTAATACCGATGTTAAGATTTTTATCCGAGTTACTTGAAATAATCAGAGATAAATCGTCGGCATACATGGTAAAAGCTACGTTACCTATTACATTTTCTATTGAATTGACATATAAAACAAAAAGCACAGGTCCCAGAATAGAGCCCTGCGGTACTCCCATTTCAATTAAGCTATAATCAGAATTGATCTCATTCAAAGTATCGGAATTATTGTGTTGTATAGAGACATATTGTTTCCGAAATTTTAAAAAACACAGTAACCAGTTCAACGGAACACCTCTTATGCCATAATGGTAAAGTTTGGTAAGTAAATTATCGTGATTAACGCAGTCGAATGCCCTACTAAGATCACAGAAAATCCCGACAGGGCACTCGCCTGCTTCAATACATCTAATGACTTCTTCGTAAAAAGAGTGTGTAGCTGTTATAGTGGACCGCCCTGAACGAAATCCGTGTTGGGTGTTAATTAAAATTCTTGTTTTGTTTAAGAAATTTGTCAAACGTTCTAAATAAGCATATTCAAAAATCTTTGAAAAGCTGAGAGGAAGAGTAACTGGTCTATAGTTTTCTAATGATGAACGATCACTTTTTTTAAAAATAGGAAGTACTTTTCCCACCTTTAAAGTGTCGGGAAAGATACCGCTTTGAAAGGATAGATTTACTAGATACGTTATAGGCTGCATTATCACTTTTAAAACACGTTTTATTAAAAACATGGGAACGTCGTCTGATCCTGCGGATTTCTTATTTTTTAATTTGTTTCTTAATAAATTTAATAATTCAGTTTCAGAGAAAGGGTTTAAAAACAAAGTTTGATTTACTATTTTAGTAACACACACTCTATTATCAACGTTATCAGCAGATACATTCTCAACAATATTTTTTGGTGTATTCATAAAAAAACTATTAAAAGTTGAAACAACCTCAACAGGATCTTCAATTGTTACTCCGTTATATTTTATTGATATATTACTCCTATCTTTCTTTTTGTTAGAAATTTCATTTACTATATTCCAAGCTGCCTTTGCTGGATTATCCGAATTTTTAATTTTATTTTGGTAATATTTTCTTTTTGTTTCTCTAATTGTAGATATGTGCTTATTTTTAGCTATTTTATAGACAGGAACTAAATCGGCGTAATTTGTTTTTAAATGAAAAAGAGTTTTAAGACGAGAGCTAGATCTTTTGACTTCATCATTTACCCATTGTTTACCGGAGTTATTAACTTTAAAGTGATGCCTGCGTACTGGAAAGAAACTGTTAAAATAATGTAAATATTCACATATCTATGGTCCGTCTCTTAAATATCCTCCATATTGTTAAATGTCCTCCATTTTTTACTGGATTTTGCGTTTCAATGGGCCGTACTTCACTCACAAATGTTTTTTGTGCTTTTTGTGCAGCCACAGATATCATTTGAACCTGCGACATACCTTTGCATGCTCATACATACTCACCCTAACGTTTGCACTTGTGAAGGCTGTCTGAGCTTCAACATGTCATATTTCATACAACTCCTGCATTTGGATTTATAATCACAGTTGGTACAACCTTCTATTTATGTTTCAGTTGATGCCTTTTGAGATATCTCTTGTGTATAATTTCGTAATCGCAGTCGTTACACCTGTACAAGTGAACCTGAGAAGGATCTTTATGCTTCAGTTGATGCCGTTTGATATAACTGTTATATTTAGTTTTGAAATCGCAGTCATTACACTTGTACATCTGAACCTGAGAAGGATCTTTATGCTTCAGTTGATGCCGTTTGATATAACTCTTATATTTAGTTTCGTAATCGCAGTCATTACACTTGTACATTTTAACCTGCGAAGGATCTTTATGTTTCAGTTGGTGCTTTGTGAAATATTCCTTGTATACAGTTTTGTAATCGCAATCATTGCACCGGTACATTTGAACTTTAGAAGGATCTTTATGCTGCAGTTGATGCTGTTTCATATAACTCTTGTATTTAGTTTCCAAATCGCAGGCGTTACATTTGTACATTTGAACCTGTGAGGGATCTTTATGCTGCAGTTGATGCCGTTTGATAGAACTCTTATATTTAGTTTCATAATCGCAGTCATTACACCCGTACGATTGCACCTGAGAAGGATCTCTATGCTTCAGTTGATGCCGTTTGATATGACTCTTGTATTTAGTTTCGTAATTGCAGTCATTACACCTGTACGTTTGAACCTGCGAAAGGTCTTTGTGTTTCAGTTGGTGTATCTTCATGACATTCTTGTATTTACTTTCGAAATCACAGTCATTGCACCTGTACTTTTGAACCTGTGAAAGATCTTTATGTTTCAGTTGGTGTTTTTTCATATCATCCTTGTATTTAGTTTTATAATCGCAGTCCTTACACCCGTACAATTCAACCTGAGAAGGATCTTTATGCTTAAGTTGATGATTTTTCATAACATTTTTGTATTTAGTTTTGTAATCGCAGTCGTTACACCTGTACATTTTGGCCTGTGAAGGATTTTTATGTACCAACTGATGTCTGATAAAGTGTACCTTCTTCTTTGATTCGTATGTGCAAGCACCACATTTATAAATGGGTGGTTGTGAAGTGTCCTTATTCGGTAATGCCGTGTATTCGGGTTTATAGTCACATTCCACACAATTGTTTGAGTTTTTGTGTTTTATATAATGACTATTAAAACTGACCTTCCGCTGTGTTTTGAAATCACAAAAGTCGCACATGTACAATCGTCCTTCAGATGCGCTTTTGTGCTTCACTAGACGCTTAGCAAGCTCACACCTGTGCTTTGTCTTGCAATCACATGACCCGCATCGGTGCATACGCCTTTCCGAAGGATCTTTATGCCTCAGCTGGTGCTTCTGAAAAAATTTTTTATTTTCAGTTTCATACTCGCACGATTCACATTTATATGCTTCCGAATCCTTCTCGTGTCTGGCACGGTGTGCTATAAAACGGCTCTCGCTTCTAGTTTCGTAAATACATTTATCACATTTGTAAAATACTTTGTCGTCCTGCTTGACTTTCGTATTACATTCATTTGTCGATCTATTCTCATGTTTACATCCATCCTCTTCTGCATCTCTAAAGACACTCTTCTCGAATGATTCACTATCGGAGCTCTGCAGTAGCGAGTCGCTGAAAAAATTACATATACAGGGTATTTTCCAATGTGAAGTGTTAATTCTAAGGGGTTATAGGTTATTCCAAATGCAGTTATAAGTTTCTAAACTCCACAGGGCATCATTTCAATTTTATTATCATACGAACCAAATTTTTGATGACAATGAGGTCATATTTTCATTGAAAATATGTTAAAAGTAATTAATTATGCAAAAACACTCAGAAATATAAGAAATTAAAGCAGGAGATGCAAAATTAAATAAGATCTGGATTTATACGGTTACCTTTTAAATTATTGTTAAAATAGTCTTCTCTTACCTGCTTTCCTCATCTTCCGATTTTATGTCGATACTTTCAGCTTTGATTGACATTTCCATCTCGTCGATATCAAATTTTTTGTCCTCGTTTTCAGTCTTAACGAATAAATCGGATGGTGACGTATCTATCTGGATTTCTGTTGTGGAGTTACTAAAAATACCTCTAATTTTTTCCTGTACTTCCCAGCAATTTTTTAGGAAACTGTTGTGTGTGCACACAGAATCAAAGCATTGCTTACACACAACGGGATCTTTGATGATATATATATTCTGCAAAGTAGTATCATTAAATTGCGAAAAATGTAACTATTTAATATCATTGATACCATTTCAGGAGCCAATTTCTCGATAGCTTCAAACTCCTCTTCACGTATACACCTAAACTCACTTTCTACTGGATGCATACACAATCGACATATTTTCTGACCGTCTGAAATATCCATAGACTCGCTTGTCTTTTGCTTCGTATACACATCTCTTATATCGAGCTGTAACATTTTTTCACAATCCACATACGGAATAATTGCGTAATCGGTCTTCAGACAAGTTGCCTTAAATTCGAATGCTGCGTTTAACTTTCTTCTGCAAACGTTACATATAACCTCTTTGTCGTCGCTATCAAATTTCTGAAATATATGCAACTTTAACCAAAGAGAAAGCAAATAACTTTGTCAGAAAATATCAATTATTGTTAAATTGCTCTAATGTGATGAGGTGTCCGAATTGAGATACACAGTTCGTCCCAGAAGTAACGCAAAAAATTCGTATTTTATTTTGTGTTGCGTTTTCACAAAAACACTAAACTACGTCAATTAGTACATAAGAATTGTTGTTATGTCACGTTGCTTAAACCTTCTTTGTGCAATGTTTCATGAACCTATGACGTCATCGACATTTTTTTTTAAATAGCACCACCTAATTTTTTAGGCATAAAAGAATAGCCCTTTTGAAGGGAAATGCGTCGATATAGGGTTTGGTCTATTTTACCTTAACAGGTGCGAAAAAAAACCAGACAAATGTATTACTTAATTTAATGTAAAGAATGCGAAAAAGTTTCTCAAAAATAATACCTTAAAAATGTTTATTAAGCAATTTTATGTGACCTAAAGAAGATGTTCAAAGTGACCCCCATTAACAGTTAGGCAATGGGGGAGTCAATGTTTGAATTCATCCGTGGTATTTTGAATTGCCTCTGCTGGTATCCGACTAATTTCATCTCTTATGGTGCCCATAAGAGATTTTAAGCCCTCGATGGTGTGCGCTCTACCAACTCTGCTTTTTAAATAGCCCCACACGAAATAATCTAGGGGAGTTCAATCGGGTGAACGTGGTGGCCACTCAATGGTCCTCTTCGACCTATCCACCTATTTGGAAAAATTTCATGCAAGCAATTCCTCCCGGCAATCCCGAAATGAGGAGTCTCGTACTGTTGAAACCGAATACTGTCTGCTGGAACATCCATGTGATTTTTCCCGCCCTGTCAAAGTAAAGTAGGCCAAACCCTATATCGAAGCATTTCCCTTCAAAAGGGCTACCCTCTTATGCTTAAAAAATTACAAATCCTACACAGGGTGTTTGTAAATAAGTGCGAAATATTTTAGGGGGTGGTTGCCGAAGTTATTTTGGGAAAAATGTTCATATAAATGTAGGTCGAAGTATGAATCGTTTCCGAGACGCAGTGTTTCAATTTTAATTTTTTATTTATTTTTTATTAATTATTCCAATGAGTTTTAAAGATATCGACTCGAAATTTGAAAAAAGCTGTGGAGGGATAAATGTGCATTTTTTGGGGTGATCTGAATATTTCTACTTGCACCAGTGGCGTTCATGCGAGAATTCCGCAACCTTTTTTAATAAAAAAAAAAGAATATTTTGCGTATATACAGGGTGGTCCGTAAGTAATGGTCCATAGAGACATACTACATTTTTTACTTCAAAATATTGCGATTTGAGCCAACATGCCTTAATAAAATGTTGATAACAAAAAAGATACAGGGTGTCAAAGTTGGAAATTAAAAATTGAATTTTCGTAATAATTATAATATTTTTGAGTGTATGAACGTGAAAATTTAGGGGTAGATGTTTCTGTATACGAGAAATCATAATTTGTTATCTATTTCGATGTATCTTCTAGAGGGCGCCACATACGCCGTGTTTATGACGTAAATACGAGCATAATTTTTTTATCCACAACGTTAACGCTTCTTTTTTTTAAAAATCTTAAACCTACATTATTTTCGTGAAAAAATGGTATACTTGTCATTAGCTCTAGAAATTGTCCGTTTTCAAGAAAAACGCATTTCAACAATCTGCTGCATGTTTCATTACAGGAAATTTTATCGTAGTGTGCGACAATGCCAAGACAGTTTTGACAATTAGAAAAAATCATTGTGACAGTTAGCAATTATTTCAAATTGTATTTATTAATTTTTGGTAAAAATCAATTAAGTATTTAAAAGAAAATAACGAATTATGCCGAGACATAATAATTTCTCGAATTTGGAAATGAGAGATATGACGGTTGTTTATTGTCAACAAAATTTCAATGGACGTGCTGCGCAACGTGAATATTGCCGAAGATTTCCAAACAGATTGCAACCTGGTAAACGACTGTTTCAAAATCTATTCAGAAACTTAGGCGAAAGTGGTTCATTTCGTCCTAAACGTGATAATTTAGGTCGACCAAAAATGATTACGCCTGACCAGGAAGACGAAATACTAATTCGCATTGCAGATGATCCACAAACTAGTTCAAGACGATTAGCTGCAGCCACGGGAATTAATAAAACATCAATTTTAAAGACATTACATGAAGAAAAATATCATCCATATCATTTTACACCAGTTCAAAATTTATTACCTGTCGATCTTCCTTCAAGATATCAATTTGCAAGTGATATTCGGAACAAGCAGAATACTGACTATACATTTGTCAACAGAATATTGTTTACAGATGAAGCGACATTTACTCGCCGAGGTATTTTCAATTTAAGAAATAAGCATTGTTGGGAAGTTCAAAATCCTCATGTAACTCGAGAACGGCACTTTCAACATGAATTTAAGATTAATGTTTGGTGTGGGATCATTGGAAACCATTTTCTAGGTCCATATGAGTTGCCAGGAAATTTAAATGGTACAAGTTATTTAAATTTTTTAGAAAATAGCTTTGTTGATCTATTGGATGCGTTACCACTGAATTTGAGGCAAAATATGTGGTTCATGCAAGATGGCGCTCCGCCACATTTTACTCATCAAGTAAGAACATATCTAAACCAACACTTTCCTGAACGTTGGATTGGCCGTGGTAGTATATTTCCTTGGCCGCCACGTAGTCCAGACTTCAACCCTTTAGATTTTGGTGTATGGGGCACAATGAAGGAAATTGTTTATAAAAACACTATAAATACTCGCGTCCAACTTTGGCAAGAAATTAGTAATGCCTCAACTTTTTTTGATCCAATGGTATTATTTAATATTAGACGATCTTTCATAAATCGTATGGACAAGTGCATCGAGGTGAATGGTGGACATATTGAAAATTTACTTTGAAACATTTCCTATTTTTCCTTAGGTACATATTCAGTTTTTTACTTGTTAAACGCTTGATAAAATCATAGTTTTGTTTAATTAAATTTCTCCTTTAACTGGTTTTGTAAATAAAATTTATCAACTTGATAATTTGTATTTTAATGTGTACAAAGGGATAATGTTTAATTGTCAAAATTAATGTTTTCATTAGCGCACACTACGATAAAATTTCCTGTAATGAAACATGCAGCAGATTGTTGAAATGCGTTTTTCTTGAAAACGGACAATTTCTAGAGCTAATGACAAGTATACCATTTTTTCACGAAAATAATGTAGGTTTAAGATTTTTAAAAAAAAGAAGCGTTAACGTTGTGGATAAAAAAATTATGCTCGTATTTACGTCATAAACACGGCGTATGTGGCGCCCTCTAGAAGATACATCGAAATAGATAACAAATTATGATTTCTCGTATACAAAAACATCTACCCCTAAATTTTCACGTTCATACACTCAAAAATATTATAATTATTACGAAAATTCAATTTTTAATTTCCAACTTTGACACCCTGTATCTTTTTTGTTATCAACATTTTATTAAGGCATGTTGGCTCCAATCGCAATATTTTGAAGTAAAAAATGTAGTATGTCTCTATGGACCATTACTTACGGACCACCCTGTATACAGCATGTCCGCAAATTTCACCGACAACATTTGACTGCATATTCACGACGATAAGATATACGAAAAAAAAGTTAAATAAAAACTTTTTGGTTTTAGTGTTACAGGCCTTCAGTTGTCAAAAATAAAACGTTTAATAAAAAACATCCTTCTAAATGGTAGTCCAAATTACGACTTCCGGTCTAGACTGGAAGTGGTGTTTTTTAAACCAGAAGTAAATTTTTTTAATGGAAACACCCATTTTTTACTACGGATTTCGATTGAAAAACTAAAAAAAAATTCTTTTCATACGTTCCCGAAGTTTTAATGATCTTAGGATATGGCGATGGAAGACGAAGTAGTGGATGTTTCTCATGAATTGGATCTTGATCGGGAACATATTTCTAAATGAACCGTTTCAAAAATATTGCAACGTTTGCATGAAACTGGAGGTATTACAGATCGACAAAAAAGTGAGACCAGTAAATTTATAAAAAAATTATTTTCAAAGTTCGATATCTCGAAAACGGTCAAGTTTAGATACATGATGTGGTACATGAATTTTGCTTAGAATTTCGAGAAAACGTGAAATATGGAATAAAATATAGTGTTCCAATAAAGAAAAAGCAACTTTGCTTCGTTATAACTTCTGGACTAATCCCGTATATTTCTCTTTATTGTAATAGATTTAAAAAACCCTAAAACGTTTGTCTCTTATGATATTTCGATCTTACTTTAGGAGATAATCTACCGTTTCCAAACATATCCGCGTTCCTGAACTAATACATACATATAACTTACCAATTTCAGCAAAAGAACATCTAAAGTATCTCTAGTAACGTTGTCTATTACCTCAAAACCTTTAACGGTTACAGTTTCGAGGCAAAGCTTACACGAAGTTTCTTGAACACCGGTCATTGCAACAATTTTCTTTGAAAAGCAAATTTAAAACTGTAAGTTGTGTTGGTTGTTTAACCTCAATGAAAACGTCGAATGTCGAATAGAGTTATTGTTCTTCTTCCTCTTCTGTTATCGGAACAACAAGAATGATAAAGTCTAGTCTATATTTAGCAAGAAGAGCGCCAGAAGAAAGGGCCCTAGCCGGCGGGGCCCAGCCAGGACAAAAGGAGGTCCCACAAAGCGCCTACACCGGCCGCATTTGCGGTCGGGGTAGACGACGGATGGGGCCCACCTACGAAGGCTGTCCAGGCCTACACGAGATGAGGCAGGATAAAGAGGGATAATCCCCCTCGATCCCAAATCATTGAGGCCAATTTCTAGCCATAGAATAATGGCGCGAATAATGGCGTAAGTCTATATTTCTTGCATTATGATTGGAAAATGGAAACGGAATGCTGGAAAAAGAATTGACGTAACAATTTTTCTTGTACACAGCACAAAATAAGGATAATTTATATAATCCTTTTTCTATGGTACAGAGATATGGAGTAGGAGCGCCGCGCGCCGCGCGCGCGCGCGCCATTATTCTATGGCTAGAAATTGGCCTCAATGATTTGGGATCGAGGGGGATTATCCCTCTTTATCCTGCCTCATCTCGTGTAGGCCTGGACAGCCTTCGTAGGTGGGCCCCATCCGTCGTCTNAACCTACATTATTTTCGTGAAAAAATGGTATACTTGTCATTAGACAATTAGAAAAAATCATTGTGACAGTTAGCAATAATTATTTCAAATTGTATTTATTAATTTTTGGTAAAAATCAATGAAGAATAATTTCTCGAATTTGGAAGTGAGAGATATGACTTGTGTTTATTGTCAACAAAATTTCAATGGACGTGCTGCGCAACGTGAATATTGCCGAAGATTTCCAAACAGATTGCAACCTGGTAAACGACTGTTTCAAAATCTATTCAGAAACTTAGGCGAAAGTGGTTCATTTCGTCCTAAACGTGATAATTTAGGTCGACCAAAAATGATTACGCCTGACCAGGAAGACGAAATACTAATTCGCATTGCAGATGATCCACAAACTAGTTCAAGACGATTAGCTGCAGCCACAGGAATTAATAAAACATCAATTTTAAATACATTACATGAAGAAAAATATCATCCATATCATTTTACCAGTTCAAAATTTATTACCTGTCGATCTTCCTTCAAGATATCAATTTGCAAGTGATATTCGGAACAAGCAGAATACTGACTATACATTTGTCAACAGAATATTGTTTACAGATGAAGCGACATTTACTCGCCGAGGTATTTTCAATTTAAGAAATAAGCATTGTTGGGAAGTTCAAAATCCTCATGTAACTCGAGAACGGCACTTTCAACATGAATTTAAGATTAATGTTTGGTGTGGGATCATTGGAAACCATTTTCTAGGTCCATATGAGTTGCCAGGAAATTTAAATGGTACAAGTTATTTAAATTTTTTAGAAAATAGCTTTGTTGATCTATTGGATGCGTTACCACTGAATTTGAGGCAAAATATGTGGTTCATGCAAGATGGCGCTCCGCCACATTTTACTCATCAAGTAAGAACATATCTAAACCAACACTTTCCTGAACGTTGGATTGGCCGTGGTAGTATATTTCCTTGGCCGCNGTCACAATGATTTTTTCTAATTGTCAAAACTGTCTTGGCATTGTCGCACACTACGATAAAATTTCCTGTAATGAAACATGCAGCAGATTGTTGAAATGCGTTTTTCTTGAAAACGGACAATTTCTAGAGCTAATGACAAGTATACCATTTTTTCACGAAAATAATGTAGGTTTAAGATTTTTTAAAAAAAGAAGCGTTAACGTTGTGGATAAAAAAATTATGCTCGTATTTACGTCATAAACACGGCGTATGTGGCGCCCTCTAGAAGATACATCGAAATAGATAACAAATTATGATTTCTCGTATACAGAAACATCTACCCCTAAATTTTCACGTTCATACACTCAAAAATATTATAATTATTACGAAAATTCAATTTTTAATTTCCAACTTTGACACCCTGTATCTTTTTTGTTATCAACATTTTATTAAGGCATGTTGGCTCCAATCGTAATATTTTGAAGTAAAAAATCTAGTATGTCTCTATGGACCATTACTTACGGACTACCCTGTATACTATGCAAATCGCTGTATTGAGTCGGGGAGGGGACTATTTTGAATAAAATAAATCGGTTTTGCCAAAAAACTTATTACTTCTTGGATTGTCATTAATCGTTTACTGGTAAAACGAACTACTCATGTAAAATAATAACACCTTAAAAACACTGGTAGATACAATAATTGTGTTATCTATTTTACTGTAGAAAAATTGGAATGCGTAATGACACCTGACCTCATTATATTTATTCTCATTAGTATTTAACAACGTTGCATGTTACAGTTTTTATGAAAAATAGTACTTGCCACTTTGATATTTTAATGCTTCAATAATTCAAGACATTTCTAGAAAAAAAAATCCTTTTATGCGTTTAGGTGTTATGACCCTATTTGGGTTAATAGAAATGAAACACTTGCAGACCAGCGGGTGTGAGGCCCAGAAACCAACCTTATTGGTCTATCGCCGTAAGAAAACTGGAAAATGGAACCCGAAAAGACGGAGAAAACCCATCCGAAAAGATGCCTCCGTAGATATGTAAAAGAAAGCGTGGGACAGGCGGCATTCGAGTGAGAATAATAAAACCGAATTACGCGTAATATTATCACGAGAAAACGCAGAAGAAAAGAAAAGTCGGGAAGGGTCAGGATCGGCATCTCCACCAGGAGCAGAGGTGTCAAACAGGTCAGAGCTGCCGCGAGGGAGCGTGCGCCGTGGCGGCGGGCCACGAAAGCTCAGCTTCAGATTTTCCTGCAGCTACAGGAGTCAGTAGCCGCGCTGTGATGCTGCGAGGAACCGATTCCTGCGAGTATCCTGCGAGGCCGGAGTCAGAGATCGCGCGCGCTCCCGATTTTCCGCGGAGTTTCACCCGCTGCAAATTGAGGTGTTCTTTTGGCGGACAGTGATGGATTGAAATGAACCCTTCCGATTGTTAGACGAATATTTATGTGTGTTAGTGTTGCCATGTTCGAGTCGGTTTGAAAATATAAATTTGTTTGGTAAGTTCCGGAAAATTACAACGAAGCGGATCAGCAGAACTTACAATTGCTTTCTGTTTTATTACACTTTAACTTAAAATCCTTACTTGATAAAGTAAAAGGATTTTTTATTTTCTTGATAAAAATACATTCATAACTATTGTGGTATTGAAGTTGACTAAATCATTAAAATCCAAATTAGAATCATTTTAATTTTAGTACAATTTTTTATTGATTTCCAACTAGTTTCGACTTAATATTAACCCATTATCAGGAAAAAACCAAAGTATAAACAAAGTTATGTGTTGCATGTTAAAATGTGTTATTTATATTCTAGTTTTTCTCTAACAAGCCTAGCAAGCAGAAATTAGTTGGAAATAAACAAAAGATTTGTACTGAAATCAAGAAAACTGAACCGAAATTTTCGTACTTTGGAGAGTCAAGTAAACAGTTGATGATTTATCCTAAAAATTATTAATTTAAATATTCCTGGATAAGAATAATTTAGTATTATTCTATGTACTTTAAATTTTTTCAACCTTTGCTTAATATTTTATTAGAATTAATACTAGTACGTAGGTACATCACAACTTAAAAACCTAATTGTTAGTATCTTGTATTTTGAGAATTTTGTTGTTATTCTTTAGTTGTTAATAAATTACAAATCTTTTTCTTTTAAGACACATTGGCAAATTGTAGTAACAAAAATTGATAGTCTTAATAGTGTACAATTCATTTTTCTTTTAATTCAGCTTCTATTTACTTGACTCATCAACTGTTCACAAAAATTAAGAAAAATTAATAATTTGTCAACCTTTCAGTATATACTATTTTCAGTATGAATTATTTTGTTTTGTAGCTTCTCTACATTTCATGGTAAAACTGTTTTCTGTCATCTGGATTGATGGTACAAATCCATATCTTGAATGTGACTGCAATTGCATTTTGAGTTGCAATTAATGACTTAATGTCTCATAATCATTAAGTCATCATAGCATAAGTCATAATGAGTTGCACTTAACTAATTAATTGGAATTAAAGAAATTTTTGTACTGAAATAAAAAGGATTCTAATTCTTGGACAAATAATTTTAGTATTCTATTTATTAGTCATTTTCTTCAACCTTTGCTTAATATTTTGTTAGTACTAGGTAATAAAATCTGAAAAATTTTCAATGAATACTAGTACGTTTATCACAATTTATAAACCTAATTGTTAGTATCCTCTGTTTTAAAACTTTGGTTGTTATGCTTTAGTTGTTAATAAACTACAAATCTTTCTCTTTTTAAACACATTGGCAAATTGTAGTGACAAAAATTAATAGTCTTAATAGTGCACAATTCATTTTTCTTTTAACTCAGCTTCTGTTTACTTAATCTGATTCATCGTCAACCGACCAATCGCCATAAGCGTTTTGCTACTTGTCAAACTGTTCTTTAAAAATTTAAAAAACTAATAATTTGTCACCCTTTTATTTCTATATTCAGGATCAATATGAATTATTATGTAGCTCAACTAGATTTCGTCTTAAAACTGTTTTCAGTCATCTAGATTAATGGAAAAAATCTATATCTTGAATCTGACTGTAATTGTACTTTGAGTTGCAATAGATTTTCAATGTTTCCATGTTTCCAGTTTGTATATTCTTATGTTCAACGTTGTATTTAAAAACACCAAATCCTTAACCATCGATGCGATTGAAGAACAGTCTTAGATAGGCATAGAACTGACTCAAAACATTCGCATTTAATATTTAATTTTTTTTTTTTGGAAAATTAAATAAGTACTGTTTATTGTAACTGTTTGAAACATTATACATAGGGTTCTGTAAAAATCTCATGGAAAAACTATCAAATGTTTTCAACTATTTTAAATCAT